GAGACAAAGAAGGACGTTACATAATACTCAAGGGGTCAATCCAAGAAGAAGATATAACAATTGTAAATATATATGCCCTCAACTTAGGAGCACCTCAATATATAACACAAATGTTAACATACAAAAAAGATAATTTGGCAGTAAAACAATCACAGTGGGGGACTTTAATACTCCACTTATAGCAATGGACAGATTATCTAAACAGAAAACCAGTAAGAAAATATTGACGTTAACCAATATATTAGATAAGATGGACTTAACAGTCATATACAGAAAATTCCATTCAAAAGCAGAATAGACATTCTTTTCAAGTGCATATAGAAAATTCTCCAGGATAGATCACATGCTAGGCCACAAGACAAGTCTCAATGCCTTTAAGGAAACTGCAATTATACCAAGTGTATTTTCCAACCACAATGCTATGAGGTTAAAAATCAACTTAAAAAAAAAAAAAGCAAAAATATACACATGTGAAAACTAAACAACATGCTCACCAATGGATCACTCAAAAAATCAAAGAAGAAATTTTAAAATATCTGAAGTCAGATAATCCAAAATCTATCCACATCAAGTTTCCTCAGTTGTACCCAACTCTTTGCAACCCCACAGACTATACAGTCCATGGAATCCTCCAGGCCAAAATACTGGAGTGGGTAGCCTTTCCTTTTTCCAGGGGATCTTCCCAACCCAGGGATCAAACCCAGGTGTCCCACACTGCAGGCAGATTCTTTACCAGCTGAGCCACCAGGGAAGCCTAAGAGTACTGGAGTGGGTAACCTAAACCTTCTCCAGCAGATCTTCCTGACCCAGGAATTGAACCAGGGTCTCCTGCATTGCAGGCTCTTTACCAACTGAGCTATCAGGGAATTCCAAAATCTATGGGATGCAACAAAACCAATTCTAAGAGGGAAGTTTATAGTGATACAAGCATACCTCAGTAAAAAAAAAAAAAAGCAAAAATCTCAAATAAGCAACTTAACCTTACACCTAAAGTAACTAGGAAAAGAAGAACAAAAAAAAAACCCAAAGTTTCTAGAATGAAAGAAATAAAAAAGATCAAAGCAGAAATAAACGAGACTTAAAAAAATAATAAATCGATGAAACTAAAAGCTAAACCTTTGAAAAGATAAATAAAACTGATAAATCTTTAGCCAGACTCATCAAAAAAAAAGAGGGTCTGCATCAATTAAAACTTTTTATTAATTTCTATTTTCATTGCCTTTTGTCTAGAGGATATGTTTTATATCATTCTGAGCCCCTGGAATTTATTAAGGCTTCCTTCATGGACCAGTAAATTTTTGTGAATGTTCTTAGTGTGCTAATCACTGCATATGGTGATTGCAGCCATGAAATTAAAAGACGCTTACTCCTTGGAAAGTTATGACCAACCTAGACAGCATATTAAAAAGCAGAGACATTACTTTGTCAACAAAGGTGTGTCTAGTCAAGGCTATGGCTTTTCCAGTAGTCATGCATGAATTTGAGAGTTGGACTATAAAGAAAGCTGAGTGCTGAAGAATTGACGCTTTTGAACTGTGGTGTTGGAGAAGACTCTTGAGAGTCCCTTCCTTGGACTGCAAGGAGGTCCAACCAGTCCATCCTAAAGATCAGTCCTGGGTGTTCATTGGAAGGACTGATGCTGAAGCTGAAACTCCAATACTTTGGCCACCTGATGCGAAGAGCTGACTCATTTGAAAAGACCCTGATGCTGGGAAAGATTGAGGGCAGGAGGAGAAGGGGATGACAGAGGATGAGATGGTTGAATGGCATCACCAACTCAATGGACATGAGTTTGGGTAAACTCCAGGGGTTGGTAATGGACAGGGAGGCCTGGCATGCTGCAGTTCATGGAGTCGCAAAGGGTCGGACACGACTGAGTGACTGAACTGAACCGAACTTAGTGTGCTAAAAAAACCAAAAAGCTTATTAATTTTATTGTCCAAATCTTCTATATATCCGTTTACTTTTAATCTGTTTAATTTTTTGGTTTTGAGAGAATTTGTTGAAATTTCCAAGTACATTTGCTTATTTCTCCCTGCACTTCTGTCAATTATTGGGTTATATATTTTGAGATTATATTGTTAGATGCACATATTATTTTATCATATTATATATTTATACATGATTGATTCTTTTATCATTATTTAATGTCCATCCTTTTTGTTTGTGATATTTTTCATTGATTTCCATTTTATCAGTTATTAAAATCACTATCTTAGCTTTCTTTTCATTCAAATCAATGAAGAATTTCTAACATTCTTTATTTTCAGTCTTTCAGTGTTTTTTGAGTTTATGTTGTGTGTAAATAATATATTGTCAGGTTTATCTTTTATTCTGAAAAAAAAAAAGTTTTCTTGTTAAAAAAAGTTCTTCTAATTGGTAAGTTTAACCCAGTTACATTATCTTTATTATTTCCATCTTACTCCATAGTTCTCATTAACTATACTTTCTTCTTGTTTCATTTTACAGTTTTTATATTTAAGTCCATATGGAATTAATTTTTGTGTATTTTTTTCTGTGAGACTTAGATTGGGGTTATTTTTTAGCCTAAGGGTGCCCCATTGTACCAGTACCATATGTTGACAAAGGTCTCCTTCCTCTAACAAATTGCTTTTGTGCCTTTGTGAGAAATCAGACAGCCATGCTATGTGAGTCTATTTCTGGATTCTCTCTTCCATTCCATTCATCTATGTGCCTCTCCCTCCACCAATACCACACAATCTTAATCACTGTAGCTAGATTATCATCCATGGCACTGGGTAGAGTGACTTCTCACTTTTTCTTCTTTTTATAAAGTATTTTAGCTATTCAAGGTATTTTCCATTCACACACACACACACACACATTAAATAGTAAGCTTGTTTACAAAAAAACTGTTCAGATTTTTATAGGAACTGTGTTAAACCTATAGCTTAACTTTGGGAAGACTGATAGCTTCACTGTACTGAGCCTTCTGTTGCCTCTCCATGCATTTAAGTCTTCTTTAATTTCTTTCATGAGCACTTTGTAAATATCATTACACAGATCCGGTGCATGTTTTGTTAAATTAATATCTAAGAGCTTCATTTTCTTTAGAGTGATTGGAAGTGGTACTGTGACTTTAATTTTGGTTTCCACATGTTCACAATTAGCATGTAGAAATATCATTAATTTTTACATGCTGCTCATTTACTTTTATTTTCCTTCTTTGCTTTCTATGGACAGATCAAGTTTACTCATAATGGTTTAAAAGCTGTAATTTTGTTTTTGCTTTGTTTGCCCATAGGGCCATTTCTAGAAACTTTAAATGTTTGTTTTAATAATTTTCACCAGTTTCACTATCAAGCAGGTCAGCAGGTCTCCTCTGGCCAGGATGCCAGAAGTTCTCTCTACCACACTAGTTAACACCTTGACAGGAGACTCACCTAGGAATTCATGCTGTCACTCTCCCAATCTGTCATGTCCCACTGAGAGTGTTGGGAACACTTGCCTAAAGCACTAATCAGCAGATGGTTCCAGCCCCGGGGCAGACGTCCTCCTACCCCCAATCAGTCCCACCTACCCTTCCCCGGGTCCTAAGGGGATGAATCCTACAGGCCCCTTCTCCACCATACTTCTTTCCTTGTGTTTCACATAGAGAATTCAGTGGGTCCTGGTGTCCCTTCTGGTCTGTATGCAGCAGCTGTGATCCTGAGAAGCGGGGTGTAATCATAAGTCAAGTTTTCTTGTACCATTGACTGATCTGTGCTGTACTGTTTTTTGTTTTTATTGTTTCTTTTCTTTTTTTTTTTTTTTGGCTGTACCCTGCGACTTGCAGGATCTTAGTTCCCTGACCAGGGAATGAACCTGGGCCACTGTAGTGAAAGCTGAGTCCTAACCACTGGACCCCTAGGAAACTCTCTGTGCTGAACTTTCTTTATATTCATTGGCCCTGAGGATCATGGCACGTACCCAAGTAGATAAGGTCTTTAAAGACCATCTGGTCAGTGCCTTTCAACCCTAGTCACACATTAAAATGAGACCTGAGGAATTCTAAAAATATCAGTGTCTTAGTTCCCCATCTAAATCATCTAAATCAGAATCTCTGCAGGTGAAATTGGATGGATGTGTTTTTGAAAGCCCCCTAGGAGATTCAAAAGTACAGTGAAGTTTGAGAACCACCGCTGTCAATCTAATCTTCATTTTACTAATGCTCAGAAAACAGAAGTGACTTGCCTGAGGCATACATAGAGTTAGACTAATCTGATGACTCTAGACTAATTCTTTTGGCTTTATCTCACCACTATCCCTTTTCACTGGATGCATCCTAACTTACTTCTCTGTCTCACTCAGGTACGCCTATAAGGCCAGGTCAAGACAGAGCCTCTTCTTTACTGATTGTGTGACACTGTTCTTAAACAGCTTCACCACTTATAGTGTGAGCTCATTCTGGACTCAACCAACCCCTCTGGGTCTCTGGCTCCTCCTCACACCAGGCCAATGCTGGCCTCCAAAGCCAGCAGGATGAGAGGGGGACAGCCAGATGGAAGTCAGACCTAGTTTGGGTCTTGGCTTCACAAAGCAAAACTTCCTGAACCTGTTTCTTCCCCTACAATATGAGCTGCAATCTCTACCTTCAGAGGTGGGTTTACTCTGGATTAGGACCCCTGATTCACACAAACTCCTTCCAAAGTCATGGAAGGGGCTCTCAGTTTTGTAGTCCCATTTTGTATTCTTTTTCATTAAGCAAGCTCTCCTACATGTTACCAGCTTCAGATGCCACAAACCTTGGATACATTCCTCCCTACCCCAGACAGGTGCTGTAGGAGTTAAATAAGACTCTGTTCATAAAGTGTGGGGCATACAGTACATGCTCCAAAAATACTCCCCTCCAGAACAGCCCAAAAAAAAGGTTGAAAAGACAGAGCCGTAGCTGGTGTGCTTGCAGCAAGCCCTTTTTAATGTCCAACATCTTGCCATTCAACAATCCAGCCCCTATCCAAGGGTGTCCTCTGGGGTCCAGACACAAGTGATGGGGGATGCTAAGGCACCTGGCTCTCAAGAGGGGCCTCCTCTGCTTTGATGTGGCCATAGATCCAATCAAGGTAACGGCTGACTTTGGTGTAAACGCCGTAGTTGTAGAGGCGCCCACAGCCCTCGCCCCAGCTCACCAGGCCCACCAGGAACCAGGTGCCACGGAAGAAGGCGACCATAGGCCCCCCACTGTCACCATCACAGGCATCCCTCGAGTCCCCGAGGATACCGGCACATAGCATGTTCTCAGAGATCTTGTTTTCCATGGCGTGGACGCATGCATTGTATGGGACCACGGGGACCTTGATGAAGTTGAGGACGGAGGTGCGGTTTTTCTTGACCTCATCACGGTAGCCCCAGCCTGTCACCACAGTCTCCTGGCCGACCTGGGTGAGCTTGCGCTCAGAGAGGCCACTATCTGGGAGGCAGATGGGCACAATGGTCTGCGAAAGAGTGGCAGGCTGGGCCAGGCGCAACAGGGCGATGTCATTGTCACTCGTGCTCTTCGTATAGTTAGGGTGGATGATGACCTCCTTGATGTCCAGGTCCACCTCCCAGCTCTCCCAGCGCCGCATGTCATACTCCCCTGCAGGGCAGAGGGGCTGTCAGAGTGAGCCTGGGGAAACTTCCTTCCCCAGGGGCCCCGATGAAGCTAGCAGGACTGCCCTGCTCCTGCAGGCCCTCGTGGATGGCAGGGAATGGGTCCACAGTGGGAGTGGTCACCATGCAGCCCTGGCAGGCCCTGGGACACAGGGCTGTCCCTCAGGTCCCTATCAAAGTTAACAGCCCATGAGTGTCCATCCTAAAGGGGCAAACACTGGTCTGAATTCAGGACTGGCTCAGAGATGCAGCAGTGAGGCTTGGGCAGTGACCAGCAGTGGGCAGTCATCAGGGAAGCTCCCTGAAAACCTGGGACATAGACCAGAACCTCAAAGAGAAAATGGGGTGCCTGCTGACGTGGGGGCAGGGCAAGAACAGCAGGACCCAGAGAAGGAGGGCCAGCTAGACACAGGCTCTAACCAGCAAAGAAAGATCTGGATCACACACAAGACACAAGGTCTTCTCAGGCGAAGCAGATGGCTTCTGGTAAGTGGGGGTGGGGCTCTTATTCCAAGCCCAGCCCCACAGGAGGCCACTGGCCTTTGGTTGTGCTGGACATAATGGCAGAGAGCGAGGGTCTGGTCAGTCATTCTCAATACATATCTTTTTCCTTCTTTTTGCATGATGGTTGGAGTGAGAGCCCAACCCCCAGAAATTGATAGAGTGGGGCCCAGGCTCGGGGAGCCCTGGGCTGTTGCAGGAGAGCAACGGGCTGCTGTGGCAGATGCCAGGGTCCCAACGGCACAGTCGGTCCCTGTCAATCTGTGTGAAGCATGGCCCTGAGACCAGGCCCTGTGGATACCTTCTGGGTCTCTGCACCCAAGGATGCTGTAGATACATACACACAGCCTGCTCCACACAGTGAGAGTGAAGACACAAGTATGTGTGTAACCCTCTCACTTGCAAGCACACAAACGTAAACACCTGGCCACCAGATTCAAAGAGAACCCTTTATGTGCAAACCGAGCCTGTGTCATGGTGTCTAAAATCCCACCATGGGAGGGGCAGGCTGGGAGCACACAGCCCTCTTCCCACCAGATGCCTTCTGTGTGGGTTCAAGCCCCCCAGAGACGAGGCTCCCCAAACCCAGCCACCCTCCCACCTGCTTCCAGCCCGCACCGAGCCTGACGATGAGCTTCTTGCGGTTCTCCAAGCAGTGGGCCACTGTTAGCACCCAGGAGATGTGGATTAGCACTGCCCCACAGACCAGCTTCTTCTTGGAGTCCAGCAGCACTGCCTGGAGGGGGGGGGGGGGGCGGGCAATGACATCACAACACAACTTTCTGACAGCTCCACTCAGGCCTCCGGGGTCTTGGCACAGCCCTAGGTATGGTTCTCAAGCTCAACGCACTGGCTGCATAAGTAGGTCTTTCCTGGGTTCCCTGGTCACACAAGCATGGACTATTGGGCACTTTCTCCTCTGCACATTTGATAGAGTTTTCCTGTTCCAGGGTGTCTCCCCACGTCTGCCCATGCTGTTCCTATAATCACCCTCAGCAGCATGCAGAGAGTTCTTCCTACCCTTGATGGCTAAGGCTGGGCCTTGAGTCCTCTAGGTAGCCTTTGAGGGCCCCGGGAGGCCTTGGGGGTCCCCCTCCAGGTTTCCTCAACCCCTGTCCTACCAGCCATCCCAGCTCTGGTCCCACTGGGTTGCCGTGTGTTTAGGATCCTGACCCTCCTGGGGGTGTGAGATCCCCAAGACCTACCAGTCCCCAGGTTATTGATCTCTGGGGACCCTAACCCCCAGTGCCTGGGAGTCAGACATCAGGTAAGTGTGAGTTTCCATGGAGAAGCTGGAGAGGGACTCAGGGGTCAACCCTCCCCCCTAGCCTTTTGCTATGCAAACACTGCTCCCCTCAGCCAGGCCACTGCCTGGAACACCACCAGAACAGCATTATCTCTCCAGCTGCTTTTAAAGCTATACTTCTTCCTGCTTGCTCCACCCCAGACCCTGCGCCCACTCCACCCTGCCCAAATGCCCCTCTCTCATCAGGTTAGCTCCGTCTTTCTCCGGGACCCTCTACCCTTAGCACTGCCTCCCCCACCCCAAGCAAAGGCTCACTTCCCTCCCCATTGGTGCCTCCAGAACAGGAACTGGGCTCAGTGACCCCTGACCCAGATGGTGAGCTGCCACCGCTCCTCTCACCTGCCAGGGGCTCTCCCCCCATCCAGCCTCCTGCCCGTTGACAATCCGTGGGTCCAGCTGGTCTTTTTGCTCTACTTGGTTTGTGTCACGTTTCAAGGTCTTGCGTTTCTTCTCCATTCGCTTCCCTAGCCTCCCACAAGGGAACGTCACTGAAGGCAGGAGAAAGCAGCTGAGTGCCTGCCAGGCACTGCTGCCAAGACTGACCCCCATGTCTGTCCACCTCCTGCCAGCAGCCTCATTTGCTGCCTTGTAGGATAAATGATGCTTAGACACATAGTTCTATCAAATTGCACAGCCCCTCAGGTCAGTCAGCCAGTTAACAAACAGTGCCACTTAACGGCAAGAGTCAGGCCAAGCAGCATCTCTACCCAATGGCCTGGCCTTGGGCCACTTGTTCAAGTTCTGGGGGTTCAGTGCACCCCAGGGCTGTTGGGAGTAATCCCTGGGACGCGTGGTGAGGTCTCATGCTGGGATGTTACCGAGCTCCTAACAGAGGTAAGAACTTATGGGCAGGAGCAGGTGGGCACTCCTGGAGAGCCTCAGAGTGGCTCTGAGCACAGCTGTGAGGTCCTCTGCCAGGAGGAGAGAGCGCAGAACAGAACCAAGGCCAGGGCCTGTCACACTGGGCTGAGAGATTCAGCCTTGCAGGAGCAAGGGGAAGCCACCAGCAGGGAGACTGGACAGTGACAGAAAATGGAGATGAGACAACAGCAACAGAATTCCAGAAGCTGAGGCACGTGGCAACTGACTTGGTTGTCTGAGAAAGCCGAAACCTCAGCCAGTAGTAGGAGATGCAGTAGCAGGCGGCTTAGCCCCAGAGATGCCCAGGAAGCCTCCATGCGTGTCTGAGGAAGCTGTGCAGGTGGTATGGCAGGAATGTTGAGAGTTTGTCGAAGAAACTGCTAGCGCCCTAGGCTTCTGTCTCGACCCCTCATCAGTGACCTGACTCTCCTCTCTGACCCCCACAGAAGAACCTAGGTGTATTCTCTGAAGAGGGTGAGCCAGAGATTGTGAGCTCAGGACTCAATGGAGATGCCACAGGAAAGACTGACACTCAAGGCTGACCAGAGGAAGTCACGCAGACACCTGCAGACCCGGCAAAAGCAGCTCCTCCCCCCTGCACCCCCACAAGGGGCTGCAAGCCAGGCTGGGACCACCCTCACATAAGTTCGGATGATTCCTCTCAGAAAATGGCCAAAAGACCTAAGAATCTGGGCAACAGGGTTCTGTCAGTGACTTGAGCCTTCAGATGGTCTCACAGAAAAGCCCACTGGCCAACAGGCTCACCAGGCATTTCTTTGAAACTCCCTGTGACTCTAATTACTTCAAAAGAAAAAGTTAGATTTTCTGGGTTTTTTTGGTTGTTGTTTTTTTTTTTTTTTTTTTCAGTAAAAGGACTAAACTATAAGTCGTGGTAAGTTCCCCAAAAGAAGAACAGAGAATCAAAGAGATGAAAAATAGAAAGATCATAAAACTAGAAAATCAGCCCAGGGGAAAGAGATCTGATTAGAAGATGCAGAAACAGAGACTAGAAAAAGCAGGAAGGTCAAGCCATCAAGGAAATAACTAAAGAAATGTTCCTAGAAGTAGAAGATGTGAATTTCCACATGAAAAAGGTGCTACACAGTGAATAGAAGATCCACACTGAGGAACAACCTGTTGAAATTCGTGTTAAGAGTTGCCAAACTCCGAGTGTTGTGTAAGTATATAACTCTGATAGAAATTAAAATGTATAAAGAGGAAAACAGAAAACAAGGTTGCTCTCTCTCTTTAGAGAAGCCAGAGGTAAAGGGGGATATAAAGCCATCCAAGACGGTGGCTCCGCTGGTGAAGAATCTGCCTGCGGATGCAGGAGACGCGAGAGACTCCGGTTCAACGCCTGGGTTGGGAAGATCCCCAGGAGAAGGAAATAGCAACTCGCTCCAGAATTCTTGCCTGGAAAACTCCAGGGACAGAGAAGCCTGGTGGGGTCGCAAAGAGTCAGGCATGACTGAGCACACACACGATAGATGTGGAGGGTGCTAGAGGCGTGCCCTCTCCATCCGCTCAGCCGGGGAGCTACCTCTGTGCTCCTGCCCCAGGAGGCGTCCGCAGGGTGAGCGGTGGCGCCTGGAGAAAGGTGAGCAAGCGAAGGAAAAAGCGGGCAGGACACCCGCGACACCCGTCGGGGACGCCCTCCTTCTCCCATCTCCCTTGCCCAGGCCTCAGCCCGGTGGCTAGCTCGCCGGCCGGGGATCCCGTTGAGGGAGCTCACCCTTGGCCTCGCAGAGCTGGTGGTCGTCCTCCAGCCGGTAGCCGGGCGCGCAGCTGCAGTGGCGCCGGCCCTCCTCCTCCCTGCAGTAGTGCGCGCAGCCGCCGTTGTCCGCCGAGCAGTTGGAGAAGCGCACCTCTGGGCAGACACGGAGGAGGGCGCCACAGGGGCGCGGTGGCTCTAAGCGCCCGGCCGGCTCCGGGCCCGGGAGGTCCCCGCCCCGCCGCCCCCGTCCCCGCCCCCTCACCGTGCAGGCAGAAGCGGCCCTCCCAGCCCTCCGCGCAGTCGCAGCGGAATCCACCCAGGCCATCGATGCACTTGCCGCGTCCGCAGCAAGGGAGTTCGCACGGGCTCCCTGAGGGCCGGTGCTCGCACTGGTCCCCGTCTGCGACGAGGGGTGAAGAGGGCGTCACCCGGGCCGCCGGCCCGCTCCCGGTTCCCCCAGCGACCCAGAGACCCCCGAGGGGCAGAGGTATGGTGGCCCGAGGTCTGGAGCGCACTCACCGCTATACTTGGACCAGAAGGCCACCTGCGGAGAGAAGGGGCGGCATCAGGGGCCGTCAGCCCACCTGTGTAAATGGGGAGCCCCTGGGACCCCTCCCCGGGCTGGCCCAGGTCCAGCAGGGCAGCATCTAAAGGGGCAGGGGGGCGATTATCCCATACAAGGAGAGGTCAAGCCCCTCAGCCGGAGAGGAGCGGGGCAGGGGGTGGGGGGAGAGTAGGCAGCTGTATCCTGAGAAATGCCAGGCTCCTCCCTGCCTCTCTGGCCATCTCCACCTCACATCCCATACCTGACCCCCGTGCCCTGGAAGCTTGCTCTGGGTGCTGGCTGCCACCAAGGCAGCCACTGCAGCGGAAGGGACCCAGAAGCTCCCCCACCCTCGACGTGCCTGCTCTGTCTCTTTGCAGCCCCCTCCCTCCTTTCTCAACCTGTCTGGTCTCCCTGAGCCGTTGTGCTCAGAGCTGAGTGACCCCAGGATGTTGTAGGTGAGACACGGCTTGCTAGTTCAAGAAGTCTGCTTTTGTAACCAGGTTTGGGCTTCCCTGGTGACTCAGTTGGTAAAAAAAAAAAAAAAAAAAAAAAAAAAAACTGCCAGGAATTCAGGAGACCCAGGTACGATCCCCGGGTCAGGAAGATCACCTGGAGAAGGAAATGGCAACCCGCTCCAATATTCTTGCCTGGAAAACCCCATGGACAGAGGAGCCTGGCGGGCTACAGTTCATGGGATCGCAAGAGTCAGACATGACTTAGTGACTGAACCACCGTCCTGGTGGCACTTCTGCTGCTGGGCTGGGACCACCATTCCCTGAGATGGGCTTGATGATGCTGGGCTTGATGCCCAGGCCACAAGCCCCCCCTGCTGGAGACCCGGGTTAGATGGGTGTGATGTGCCCAGGCCACGCCTGCAGAAAGCCATCTAGGCGTCTGCAGAGGAGGCCATCTGAGGAAAGAGTCCGTGGGGATCTAGTCAAGGAGGTGGTGGAGGAGGGCAAGAGAAGAAGCCATCCAGAGTTCCCCCTTCAGCCCTGAAAGCCCTGGATGGGAGGGCATGCCTACAGACAGCGTGAGGGGCCCCCAGGTGGTGGCACAACCCCCAGGTCCTAGAAGCTAAAGTGAGCTCTTGAAGCTGGAGGGGGTCTGAGCCTTCTATCAGGAAGCTACCTCTCTTAACGAGTGCACCCTACTGCCTCAGGGTCTCCACCACGAAGCTCTGGGGGCCAAAGAGGACAGACCCTTTCCTTAGATCCCATGAGCAACCAGATTTCACTCCTGGAGAATCTGAGGCACAAAGTGAGTGTGTGTGCAGAGACATCAGAGTCTTGGGTCACCTGATGAGCAGGTGCAGCATGGAAGCAGAGGTGGTGGCCTTTTGGTCACAGGGAGAGAGAAGAGGGGAGGCAGTGGTGGCCAGTTGTAGGTGAACTGGGACTGAACTACCTCCAGTGGAACTAAGTGGGAATCCCAGCCCAAAGCTTCCCCAGACTCTTCATGCTCATTGCAGAGTTCTGTTTCTTGGACCTGTGTGCTCTGACCAAGATCCTAAGGCTATTTACTCCGCAGCTGCACCCCCGGCAAGCTGGGAGTGTAAGGGACTGGTGTCCACTGCCCCCCTCCCAAGGACCCCAGGCTGCTCCTCCAGGTCCCACCCCTGAGCCTCATGCTCTACACCCAGTCGGGCGGCCTTACTGTGTCTTCCTTGTTTTGGAAAATCTCCCGAGCTTCCTCGAAATCACAGACCTCCTCTGAGCACTCACGCTCCACGCTGCCGGGCCGCAGCTCCTCCAGGAAGGAGTTGGCACGTTTGCGGATCCGCAGCACTTGGTGGGCACGCTGGCTGCTGGAGAACACTGAGTCTGGGATGGGGATGGGGAGCTGACTTTGGTGGGGGGACTGCCATGAGGGGCCCCCACTTGGGAGAGACCCTGGGGAGGTTTGCATCCTGAGTCCCCTCCTCCCCTGCTCTCCTCCTTCTCCCGAAGTAGGTGACAAGTCATCTGAGGATAGGACACTGACCATTCAGAGTGCATGCGCTAAGACAGACAGACCTTCAGAACCCAACCCAATCTCCATGTGACCTTGAGCCAGCCTTTACCTCTCTTCACTTTGGTTTATTCATCAAAAAATGAGGATGAGATAATCATGTAAAACAAGTAGCACAGTGCCTGGCGCAGAAATGAGCAGCCAGTGACCAATGCCATGTGCTACTGCTATCACTGGGCTTCCCTGGTAGCTCAGCTGGTAAAGAACCTGCCTGCAATGCAGGAGATCCCAGTTCCATTCCTGGGTCAGGAAGATCTGCTGGTGAAGGGAAAAGCAACCTACTCCAGTATTCTGTCCTGGAGAACTCCATAGACAGAGGAGCCTGGCAGGTTATAGTCCGTGGGGTCACAAAGAGTCTGAGGCTACTGAGCGACTTTCACTGCTCTCGGTATTGTTCAAGCGCAGAGTTAAGTGGGCCTCATTGTCCTCCAAGTACCCCTTGTGGCGCCCAGTCTCGACTGCCTCCCTGCAGCCTCCCTGCCCTCCCCTCCCCCACCACATGATGAATTCCCCGTGCCCTCCCCCTTGGGTGGGAACACCTGAGCAGCAGTGCTGCCTCCCAGGGAGCACCACCATATCCCCCAGGTTCTGAAAGGTGTCTGCCTTGGATGCAGGGGGATAGCTGGGGTGGAGGGACCAAGCTGGGGAGTGTGGAAGAGAGGCTCCAGGATGCCATGGCCCGGAAGGGCATCCTCAGGGCAGGAGGATGTGCTGGAACTGAGTCTGGCCTTAGACACATGGACCAGGGGTGGGGTGGGGAGGAAGACACCCCAGGCAGACCAGCTGCTCAAGAAGAGGCAGAAATGTAAGAAACAGCCTGTTGTGACTCCAGGGGATGGGGGAATGGCCCACCTAATAACCCAGGTAGCTCGCTTCCCCCACAGGCCTCTCCTCCCCCTGCATTCTGGCCTCCGGTTCTCGGCTGACCAGGCGAGCAGCTGGGGCAGGGCAGCAGATGAGCATTTTAGGAGGAGAGGCTGCCCTGGGGTGCTATGGGTGGCAGCTGGGCCCGGAGTTTACACAGTTGAGGGAGTGAGTAGTGGAGAGGGAAAGCCGGGGAACTGTGTGACCCGCCCCGGGGAGGAGGAAGGGCCTGCCCCCAGGGGCTCCCGGCCACCAGCTCAGTCCTCAGGCCCCGGGGGCCCTGCTGCTTCTGCCCCCAGTCAGGTCCTCCCTGCTCATCATGGTCACCCTGAGGCTCAGAGGAGGTGGCGAAAGGTATGAAGAGAGTGCCAGGGAGCGGAGAAGGGGAGCACAGCCTTACCGGGAGGAGCTGGTGTGCTGGAAATTCCCCAGACGGTCATGAACAGTAAGAGGCTTGTAAGCTGCCACATTCTGAAGCTGCAGCCACCTGTCTGAGGAGGACTTCTGAGCTTCCAGCAGCCCCACCGGCCCCCACTCCCTCCACCGCCGCCCCCTCCCCCCACCGTGGGAGCTGAGTGAACAAGCCTCCCGTGCACGCACGCGCGCGTGTGTGTGTGTGTGTGTGTGTGTGTGCGCGCTGGTAGAGAGGGCAGAAGCTGGGGTCAGGGGTCCCTGGTCACTATTCCCTCGGCTTCTCTATACGGAGCTAAGGTCACACGACCTGAGTCTGCAGGGTGAAGAGAGGAAGTGGGAGGGGCAGCAACCTAGTGAAGATCAAAGGGGTTGGCACAGAAGGGTTTGTGCCCTCCCCTGATGAGGGTCTGGGGGTGGCGCCTCTGCCGATCTACAGGCCAGGCCAAGAGTAATAACTAACATTTATTGGACACTCATGGTGCCTTTCAAGCCATTTGTACCGGGTTCAGAGGGCGGTCACCAAGTCAGAGCAAATCCCAGCTCCAGGACAGGGTTGCTGGGCAAGACCCCTTACTGCTCCTCGGTCTCCTCGTTTGTAAAAGGGATGGGAAAACTGTATTTCTGCCTTATATGGTTCTTGTGAGAATTAAACGAGTTAATCTACGTAAAGCTGTTGAATAGGTTTGCGCATAGCAAATGCTCAGTAAGCACGGGCTCCTATTATCTCAGCTAAGGCTCACCACCACTCAAGAGGTAGGTGTTCACGGTGTCACCCCATTTCCCAGAGCGGAGATTGAGGCTCACAGGAGAGAAGTCACTCATCAAACACTCCCAACCAGGAAGTGGAAGAGCTAGTGCTCGAGCTCAGGCCCGAGTGGCTCCAGGCCTGAAACTTTAACCCCTGCCCCAAACCACCAGGCGCGCCCCAAGGCCACGAAACCTAGGCGCCCCACTGCCCCCCAGGCTGAGGGGGTGCCCCGCCAGCACCCCCTCCCTGCTGACCTCCCCCCTTCGCTGACTCCCTCTGAGGCTAGTTCTGACTTTTGTTTAAAGGCTTTAGAAGTAGAGGTGGGGGTGGGGCGGGCACCCCGGGGCTCCAGGCTGCCGAGATGGGGCGCTGAGGTCTGGAGGCCCTTGGCCAGCTCCCGCCTCCCTCAGAGTCTGCGAAGAAGGCCCCTGGGAACCATGGCAGCCAAGCCCAAGGAAGGCCAACCAGAGCTTTGGCCTGGCTGCTGGCAGAACTGCGACTCCCTTATGCCAAGCTCCAGCCGGCGTCTCAAACCCTGGCGAGAAGCTCTCACCATCAGGCCGGCTCACCCTCCTGCAGCCCCTGTCACAGACCTGCCTCGAAGGGGACTTACTGGGGTGGGCCACGGAGAAGCTGCAAGGTTGCCCTCCTGCCGCCATGACAGCCTGGAACTTGAGTTAATCCATAACCACAAATATTTACTTGGCCCTCGGTGCAGAGGCCTCCCTCTCCACCGATAAACAAACAAGCTCCCAGCTCAGGACAACCCTGTTTGCCCCAGCAGTGGGAGGGAGGTGAGGGGCAGGCACCTCAGGTGTGGCCTCATTTTAACCTCGTAGCAGCTGGCCAAAGGAGGGAGCCTGTCCCCTTTTGGCAGGTGAGGACATTTTTACCCAGTGATATTGCTGTTTGCCTCAGATCAGCACAACTGATACTGTTATTTCACCAACTCTAAGATGCCATTGGGCTTCCCAGGTGGCGCTAGTGGTAAAACACATACACACACACACACACACACACACACACACAAACCTGCCAGTGCAGGAGACATAAGAGATGCGGGTTTGATCCCTGGGTTGGGAATATCCCCTGAAGAAGGATTTGGCAACCTACTCCAGTATCCTTGCCTGGAGAACCCCATGGCGGGCTACAGTCCATAGGGTCACAAAGAGTCAGATACAACCGAGCAACTTAGCATGTAGGCAGGATGCCATTAGTTATAAGATGCATCTATTTTATGTGTCAGCATAAAAGAAACATTGTTAATTACTCAATGGCCTGCCTTCCTGATAACATCATGATGTGATGGAAAAACAGTAAAAGATTTGCCTCTCAGGGTCTCTACCACATGGGTGCCAATACTCAGCTAAACCCTCACCTCCAGCAGCTCCTGCAACTGTCACTCTCTCCTACCACACACAACTGCACACCACTATTTCCATAACCTCAATTTTGCAGATGAGGACACTCAGAAATCTTTTGTCATTGGGCCAAATGCACGGAGCCAGTAAATGGCAGGTCTGGATTAGAACTCAGGTCTTTCCAGAGCTTCTGGCACCTCTCACCTACTTTTGTGAGCAAGTGAGAAAAGTCAACAGAATTTGGGGAAGTCTGCAGTCAGTTTGTGACCAGTATGTCAGAAAGGGCAGGAGCAGAAGTGAAGGGTCTGACCTGGAGCCTCAGCCCTGGCGCTGCGGTCCATCAGCCCTTATCAAGCATCTCCCTTCCTGTACTAGAAATACCCCACTTCTTCCAAACCCCACTCCCTCCTTGGAGGACTTGACCACACTCCCCAGAATCCCAGCCCTTGCACAGCTCATGTGACTCTGCCCTGCTGACCTCTGGTGATAGCACCAGGAAGCCCCTTGACCCAGGAGTCAAACAGATTCTCTCCCCCAGCCCGCAGGAGTGGGGCCTCAGTCTTACTCCACTGAGCACAGGACTCACAGGGTTTGAAGCCAGAGCCTCGATACGCACGTCTTGGCCTAAAGCAGAGGAGGCTGATGAGGAGAAAGATGGGGATGTTCAGAGAGAGGCTGAGACCACGAAGACCTGGAGAGTCTGGGTGAGGGAAGCAGTAGCAGCCTACTTCATCATGACTGGGGCACACCCTGTGTTTGGCTTCCTAGGGGTCTCCCTGCCCTCATGGGAAATCCCCTTCCCTTAAGTCTCCTTGCAACCAGACACCTCCTCCTGGGGTATAGCTCTGTTCCCAGCTGTGGAGTACAAGGCCCTTATGCTGCCCATTTGGCCCACTGGAGAAAACCAGAGGAACAGGGTGAACGTCTAACAAGGTAAACGCACTGTGCAGAGGCCAAGTGCAGGTACAGATGGTGATGCTTATGAAATTCCAAGGAGAGGTAAATCAGCACAAGTAGGGTGATCAGGGAAGGCTACCTGAAGGAGGCAAGGCTTCAGCTGGACATCAGAAGGCAGGCAGGACCCAGGTAAAAGAGGAAGGGCCCTCAGGTGGGGAGGAGGAGAAGACAGAGTTTGGGATGGAGCTTCTGGCAAGTGGGGAGTCAATGGCTGTTTCTAAGTTCTGGGGATACTGCTTGGAAAAAGGAAGTCATGGTCCTGATGACTTGGGCAGGAAGCACGAAGACCATGTGCCGAACCACACAAGAGGGGCGGCTTTCACAGCCAAGGAAAGTATAAAAATGCCTCCTGCACCCCTATGCTAGCTCCAGGGTCCTCCCCCATGAGTCTGCAACATCACCTCTACCCCACAGCCTGCTGTCCCCCATTTCACCTTCCAAGTGCAAGGCACTGTGCTTGTTCACAGGGATTCCTGCCCATCTTCTCTTCCCTGCCATCTCCTTGCCTCCTGCCTGCTCCCCAGCCTAGCCCAGGAGATCAGCTCCGTGTGAAGTTTACTTAGGATCCACCACAAACCCTGACCAAGAATAAGGGACTCTGCTGGAGGCGCCCACCTCCAAACCAGCCGAGATGCCAAAGCATCAGCACATAGAAGAAGCAGAGCACCTGCAGTGGGGGAAATGACTAGTGCTAGGGTCCACTAAGGTGGACCAGAGACGGTCAGGAGGGTTCCTCTTGCCCTTCATGCCTGTGGGCCTGCTGGGATGCTGCAGTGGGAGTGCCTGCATCACAGCCTCCACATTGGCTGCCAGCGCAGGTGGCACCTCCCTGAAGCAGAGAAGGTCAGTGCCACCAGCTCTTGCCAAGTTCTGCTGACTCTGAAAGGCAGGCATCACTTGGAGTGTCCTGGTGAGTCCAGGTATGCGGCATCTCTGCTCGCTTGCGACAGCCTTCCAGCAGGGGGCGCTGCCCTGGTCCCGCGGAAGGGTTCCGGCCGGGGCTACAAGGTGCAGCTTCACCCGGCGTGGTGGCCATAGACGACTGACCTTGTCTGTACTTGGGGTTGCTCTTCCTAGCTGTGAGTCACCCCACATTGGTCCGATTCAGTCAAGTTCACTCCGACACTAGAGCAGAACTCAGGCATTCCAGCTGGAGATGGTTGAGAGACAGGAAGGAGCCTGTGTGCAGGGAATTCCCGGAATTTGTTTGTTTGGTATTTTTTTAATTTTTTTTTCATTTATTTTTATTAGTTGGAGGCTAATTACTTTACAATATTGTAGTGGTTTCTGCCATACATTGACACGAATCAGCCATGGATTTACATGTGTTCCCCATCCCGATCCCCCTCCCACCTCCCTCCCCATCCCATGCCTGACGCGGGAGAAGGTATGGGAAGCAAAGGTGTGAGGTTAAAAACAAAAGCCAGAATTACCATGTGACACTCAGCAGTGGGACGTTCAAAAACCTCATCTTTGGGATCAGGCTCACACGGGTTTAAACCTCATCTTGGTTCCTTCCTGGCTGGGTTGCTTAACTTCCCTCTGCCTCAGTGTCTACTCTGGAAATGAGGCCAAGAACAGTATCCACCCAGGTGGTTGTTATGGGAACCAAATAGTGTGTGTGTGTAGATACATGATACATATGATATTATATATGTGTATGTGTAATTTATTTCTGGCTGCACGGGGTCTTTGCTGCTTTGTGGAGGCTTTCTCTAGTTGCAGCCAGTGGGGGCTACTCTTCACTGTGGCACACAGCTTTCCATTGTGGAGACTTTTCTTGTTGTGGAATGCTTGGGCTCTAGGGTGCATGGGCTTTCAGATCGTTTCTCCAAGGTGGACAGGGCCTGGGACTTAACAAGTGATTGATTGAAAAGTCAAAGTGTGAGTCGCTCAGTCGTGTCCCACTCTCTGTGACCCCATGGAGTGCAGCCCACCAGGCTCCTCTGTCCATGGAATTCTCCAGGCATGAATACTGGAGTGGACAAAAAAAAAAAGAATACTGGTTGCCATTTCCTTCTCCAGGGGTTCTTCCCAACCCAGGGATCAAACCTGGGTCCCCTGCATTGCAGGCAGATTCTTTACCCTCTGGGCCACCAGGGGACCCCAGGAGACTGATTAACTGACAGTCTTCTCCACCCTCACCCCCTGCCACTCCCCTTGCCTGGTGTCCATTCGTGTCTTCTGACATAAAAGCCAGGCTACTCAGGGCTCACCCTGGGAAGGGTGAAGAGAGGAAACAGTCCTGGGTGGCTGGGTTCCCTGTTAAGAAATGGAGATGAATAGATACAGTCCAGTGTCAACAGCACAATGGCACATTGATTCTTTTTAATTTCATATTGGAATATAGTTAATTCACAATGCTGTGTTAGTTTTAGATGTACAGCAAAGTGATTTAGTTATACATATTCATATATCTGGGCTTCCCTGGTGGCTAAGCTGGTAAAGAATCTGCCTGTGTGCAGGAGACCTGGGTTTGATCCCTGGGTTGAGAAGATCCACTGGAGAAGGGATACTCCAGTATTCTGGCCTGCAGAATTCCATGGACTGTATAGTCCATAGGGTCTCAAAAAGTTGGACATGACTGAGCATCTTTCACACATTCATATAGCTATTCTTTTTCTGATTCTTTTCCCATTTAGGTTATTACAGAGCATTGAGTATAACTCCTTGTGCTCTACAGTAGGTCCTTGTTGATCCGTTTTCCTTTTAGCAGTGTGTATATACCAATCCCATCCTCCCAATTCATCCCTCTCCCCACCTTTCTCCCTTGGCAACCATAAGCCTGCCCTCTAAGTCTAGGAGTCTGTTTTTGTTCTATAAACAAGTCCATCTGCACCATTTTTTTAGATTCCACATATAAGTGACAACCTTTGATATTTGTCTTTCTCTGACTTACTTCACTTAGTATGGTAATCTCTAGGTCCATCAATGTTGCTGCAAATGGCATTATTTCATTCTTTTTTTAAAAAATAGGTGTGCAGTATAATTTACAAGTAGTAAAATTCACTCTTCTTGAATGAACAGTTCTGTTTTAACAGATGTATGTAATAGTGTAACCACCAGCACAAACATTAAATGGGTCATTTTTAAGACCTTCACAAAGTTACCCTGTGTCTCATCCCCAGCCCCTAGCAGTCACTGATCTGATTTCTGTTATTTTCTATAGAATGATATAAACATGGAATTCTTACAGTATGTAGCCTTTTAAAACTGGCTTTTTCATTCAACATGAAGCTTTTCAGATTTATCCATGTTGATGTGTATATCAGTAGTTTCTTTCTGTTGCTGAGTAGTTTCCATATACAGAAGTACCACATATTGTTATCTGTTTGCCTGTT